GTCTTTGTTGTGACAGGAAAAAAAAAGAAGCCTCAACAAAAGTGGAAAGCTAAACTTCAGCTTGTAGTCATGTAGATGTGGCAGTAGATGTTACAGTGATAGTGTATTTATCTATATATAACTCAAACTATTGGCAAATGAAGTGCTTAACAAGGATGGAAATATGGCTTTTACAACTATAGGCCTTCTTGTCATCCAGGACAGTGGGTCTTTCTGTGGCTTTTTTCTTGCCTTGCATTCAGTGGAATTGGGTCTGGTACCATTTGGCATAGTGTAAATCAGGGGATTCTGCGCCAGTGTAAAGTTATTACCAGGCTCTTCCACCAGGAGAGAGTCACTGCCTTTTGGATTTATTGATTGACAGTTCTCAGCTTGATGCTTGGGTACACTTCAATTTAGTGTTTTGTTTTTCTTTCCCCCACATTACATATTACTTGCCCTGTTCTGTTACTTGTCCTTTTCAGTGTTCTTCTTTTCTCTTTCACAATAGCATCCTTTAAATCAAACTGGACTGATTTTTTTTTGCAAGACTAGTTTACTGTAGTCAAATTAAGTCAAAGTAAGTGACTTCAATAGAGACTTCACTAAGTGGAACATGAATCTAACAATGTATAAATACAAGCAAACAGCTTTAAATTATCTTTTTATCTTTTTTGGCCTAAAGTTCTGAAGCTGCAAAAAGAAGGATGTGGGAAAATATCTTGCCAAACCTATTACATTAGTAATTCATAACTACCAGCTAAATCAAATCTCATTTTAAAAGGAAACACAATACAAAACCATGGGGGACATGTTTGCTCAGCTGAAAAAAGTGAATAACAGTCTTCCAAAAAAAACCCAAAACCTAACTAGACCTATTTTAAGATCTTAGGTCATGAGTTAGGTCATGAGCTTCTTAGCATTTGGTGTGGTATCTGAGTAGACTCTTGGATTATAGATCAGGGCAGGTGCAGAAGACTGGACTATAAATACTTCTACCCTTAAGGAGTGTGCAAATTTATTGAATAACAAACCAGACAGAAACATACTCATTCTTAAGAGGAAAACTATTCAAATGTTAGAAGAATTTAAAGCTTTATTTTTCCAATGCATCATCCCATAGCTCTTAATTGTAAAAGCTAAATTGCTCTTCACAATTACCTTAGAAATGTTACAGAAGACCTTTTACACAGTAACAGCATGTATTTTTTTAAGCATGACTGGCATGTTCGGGGGTATTTCTGTACTCACTTGCTGCCTGCTGAGCTGTGCAGAGAACTAGCTGTCAGGATTCCTACCCTCTATTTTAGGGCCTTCTCTTGCCTTATGGCTGGAGCATATATGACCAATTCCTCAGGGGAAGTTTTGCCACTTACACACTTCTCTCAGAAATATTTCCCCTCAGCTCCCTTAATGCAAAGCTCTCAGAGATCCTTATGGGATAAAATACACTAACTGTAGTGATGAAACCTGCCTAACTTCATCACTGTTTTTTTAATTTGTTTTCCTGGTGAATACAGATGTTTTCAATTTCCTATTTATTATTATATGCCACACTAATGTTGCTGTTCCCTTTGTCTAAAATGAACCTTCTGTTTTACAACGGTTGCAGAGGTCTCAGAGACCTTTGAGAACTTAGTTTGTGTTTTATTTATATTTGCCTCCCAATGAGGGAACACTCCACTTTTCAAATGACACATACAGGCCTATGAGTTCACTCTGACTGACCTAATTTGAATCCTTAATCATCATTTAAGAGACGTGTTTTCCATAGAACTGGCAGAACCAGTTGTAGTATGAAGTTAGGTGTAATTTCCTGCATATTCCTTAAAAAAAAAAAAGAAAAAGAAAAAAAAAAAAAGAAAGAGCAACTCCAAGGGTATGTTTGAAGTTTTTCCAAATGAATATATCTGCCAGCCCTTTTGTCTGTTACCAGAATCAACAGTGTGAACTCCCTTTGACCAGCCAAATCCATGCACAAAAAAGCAGATCCTTCTCAAGGCAAATGTCTGCCTATGTCAAGAGATATATAACATGATAGAAACATCATGGTATGAACAACTTCCAGCCTTGCTCTGGGAAAAAATGCCGTATTGTCAGTAAGCCTGAACTGCAACATCACCTAGTCATAGGAGGAGTAGTGAATTTCAAAAACAGTGTGTCATTCTCTGGTCCTCTGTGTTGGCTGTCTTGATTTTCTAAAGAGTCTGATTAAATTTACAGAATTAAAAATGAGGGCAGTAGGTACTCCTCAGAAGCAAATAAAACTGCTGCTAGGGAGCTCCTACACCATTTGGCAATGTGAGAGTTAGCTGCTGTGGTGAAAACCAAACCAAGTGACATTACAGAATTGGCATTACGTCAGAAAAGCAAAGTTTATGCTGCCTTCTTTTTTCAGTATGCAAAAATAATTTGTATACAGTCTTTCTTCACGTATCAATTAAAGAGGGAAAGACTATACAAGCTGTTTGAGATCCAAGCCTGTCTTTCTTAGCCAGCTGGAACAGAAATTTCCAGGCAATTGACATTGTTAATGGAAGGTATAGCAAGCATGTTCACACATGTCTGTACTTCTCATATTCTCTCTATGAGGTAAAAAAAATACTGAACACTATCAGTCAGTTCAGCCCTATGGACACAGAGTCATCTTGATATAAACAAAGCTTATTAATTGGACATTTTCATGTAAGTGGAACCTCAATATTTTGTTTTTCTGTGGAGCTGCTCACATCCTCCAGAAATAAAAAAAAACACACTTTGGGTTCCTTTCCTTCTCCCTGCATCTCATACTTTCTCATGTATCCAGAGGCTCCCATGTCATGGTTCACATTCTTTTAGAAAAATGGAGCTGCACAGGAATGCTTTAAGAGCTTATCAGCACCACTCCCAAATTAGCCAGACTGGATACTGTTTGTTTAATTTCACAAGACATTTTCTTTCCCCAAAGCCAGAATACCTACCTCAGTGGACTCCCAGCCATGATACTCTTCACTTTTTAAGAAAACTTTTGTGGCAGAGGAGTAAGTTTTCCTAAACTAGGAGCAAAACATATGTTTCATAATGCAGTTGGGTTGTTGAATGATATGTAACTGTGTCTTAAATACTCACTGTATTTACCTCAGAAAAGCCTTTAATCTGTTCTAATTTGCTATATTGTATAAGTGAAATAAGCATAAACAGAAAAAATACACTTTAGAGTTGTCTGTGATTAAATCTGTAAAGTTTTTCAATACTATGTTGTCTGGTGCTTTTAAACATTCTATGACAATGCAATGCTTTTTATATTTTAATGGGTTTAAATAGTATTCTTTTGGAACTGATAGCTAGGGATGAATGGACAGTATTGGCTGCATATGAAAGAGAATTTCACCCTCTAGAAACATTTTACTTCATGATTTTACTATTATGTTACTATTATTGTCATAGGAGTTTGGTTATTAAACCAATGCAGTGAGAAGTCATCTTTTCTTTAAGCAGGCATAAGCCAAGCTTCCATTTTGCCAATAGTCTTCCACGCTCTCTAGCAGCAACGCATGAGAATCCCTGTGCACAGCTGCAAGCGTCTTGAACTTGATAACAGTTCAGAACTGAACTCAAGAGTATAGACTTTCTCAGGAGTAGGGGAAGACAACTTCTGGTCTGAACACTGATCAGGGGGCTGTGCTATCTTGTAGAGCTGAAGCTTCATGGTGCAGTTTGTGGAAGGTCTTGCAGAGCTGGACTCCAAGGCCTGCCCGGGCAAGTACAGGGGGCCAGAAGCTGTGGGCCATTCCCTCCTACTACAAAGTAACATCAGTTCAGCTGATCCAGTGACACCACCAGGGAGGAATTTTTTGCTGCAAGTGCTGAGCGCAGACAAAGAGGCTGCTTAATTTTCTCTTTGTGCAACCCAAATCCTGTGGGGTTCATGCTGGTCCGTGTGCTCAGCACTGCACGAGGGAACGTGCGTCCTGGGGACTGAGCGTGTTGTGTCTTGCTGGCTCTGCTGACGAGACTGGGAGACCTGCCTGAAGCCAAAATAGGTCTCTACTTAATTATATCTTATTTTGTTAATTCCGCCTCTCGCTGGTGATGCAGGCAGAGGGTGTAAGCCACCCCTCCAGCCAGTTTCTCTGTCCCAGCTCCTCCCGGGCTCCCTCTCTCACAGCTCTGGCTACCCCCAGGAGGTAGCTGCCCCCCTACTGCCCTAGTTGAAGACGTTCTAACTCTTCTCTGCCTTCCATTTTCAGTTCAGTGTTTGTGCCCTTCCTGCAAAGCCACAGGTCCCAGCGGGGGCTGCAGAGGCGGGGAGGGGGCGCGGGCACCGGCTTTTCCCTCGGGGTGGTTCCCGGCGGAAGCTCTGCCCGCAGCCTTGCCTGCCCGGACAAAGCCTCGCCGACAAGTCTGGTCTTCGTGCCCGGCACGGGCCGGCCCGGCACCCCGCCGCCCGCAATTGCTGTGTTCAGTAGAGGTGCTTCCTCGCCCCTGACCTTCCTTCTTCCCTGCCTCTGGCTGCCGAGGGGGAAGGTCTTAAAAGGCCTTAATTCTGTACGTGCACGCAGTTAACCCCTTGCTGCCCCCTCAGCTGCCCCCCTGCCCTGCGTGTCCCGCCTCCCCCTCCTGCTTTGAAACCGGCTGATTTCCAGAGGTGGGGACAGCAAGGGGTTGG